CGGGCACAGGGATCCGGGAGGGACACGGGGGCCAGAGGACAAGTGGACCACCGGCCTGCAGGGGGAGCTCCAGGACGCTGGAAGAGCTAATTCCCGGAGATGACCAGCAGGAGTCCGCTCCTCTATAGGCACAAAGAGGGAACTTAGTTCTGGTAGCTCTTGATAACAGTACACAATCAGTTTGCAGTGTCACCTCCGAAGTATCAGTTTCCCCCCAAGCCATCACACGCAAGCTTCTCTAGAAGTAATCCCATGATCTCTGGGACACCTTTTCCCCATAGGCCTGTGGGAAATACTTCAATGAGACAATGTTGACTCAATCAACTGTCTCTTATTATACAAAATGCCCACTCCCAAGGAAAAATGATGGTGTCAGGTGGCAGCAACCAGCAAGGCAGCTACAGAGATTTGTTTCAGAGTAGCAGTGTTAGTCTGTATCTGCAAAAAGAACCGGAGTACTTGTGGCACCTTAGAGACTAACGAATTTATTTGAGCATAAGCTTTCGTGGGCTGCAGCCCACTTCATCAGATGCATAGAATGGAACACGCAGAAAGAAGATATTTATACATACAGTTGGTATGGCTACACCCACCTTTTCATGTTCTCTGTATGTATAAATATCTTCTGTGTGTTCCATTCTATGCATCCAATGAAGTAGGCTGTAGCCCACGAAAGCTTATGCTCAAATAAATTCGTTAGTCTCTAAGGTGCCACAAGTACTCCTGTTCTTTTTATAGAGATTTGGCAACCCAAGGACAACTCTATTTTTTTTTTCTTTTGAAACAATCTTGTCACATCAGGAGTCTTTAACAGAATACTGGCCAGACTCAAAGCACTGGCAACAAGGTGTTAAGGATTATGCAATGTATGGAGCTGAATGGGGAGAAGAGAGCTCAACAAAGCACATACTTAAATGCGTTGCTGAATCAGAAATTTAGATCCTTTGCTAGAGGTCACCCAAAAATATAAAGAAGTTAAGACTACAGCTTCAGCCTGGTTTATAGCTGAATACCTACCACTAAAATAACTCGTCATTTTAACCTGTTACCTATTTTAACTCAGTCCAGCTACAATTTTCTGGGGCCTCACGTAAGGCAAAACAGAAAGGTACCAGTTAGAGCTAGTGCAATACTATTCATTAAATAATCACTGAACAATACACTTTTTATTTTTATTTTTTGGTATTATTTGACCATCTAGTTCTAATTCACTTTCCAATAACCTAGCCTATTATCTAGAAGGCATGCAGCTTGTAATTTGTGCTATATTTGCAGAAGTTAACACCAATTGTCTTTGGTGGATTAATCCTGGCAGGCTTGGCAGAAGAGCATTTTAAAGGAACTCACTAGAGATTTTGAGCTACAAGTTTTAAAAGTATTTGCCAATAGGATTTTAAAAATATGGTCACTAGTCTTTACCAGCATAGATGTTCCATTGTGAAAAATATCTCGACTAAATATACTTTGTCAGCTCAGAGATTCACAACTCTGAAGAGGCAGACACTTAAAAAGGCAGTCACACTAATGAAACAGAAAGATAAATTACTCAATAATAATGTACAGTGATCAGTATATACTTAATACATTTAACCTTACCTTTTCTTGATTAGTAAGATAGTATCTGAACTTCCAAACTAGATCCTGTTCCTCGTATGTCAGTTGCTTTGTTGGTGGATAACTCACTATGATCTATAAAAAAATTTCCAGAGAATAAATTGTAATAAACATTATACATATTGATCTTTTAAAGAAGTTGAGAGAATTTAGTGTGTGTCTCATGTGCCATACTGACCACATAGTAGAATGAAGACCTTTGTCTATCCACAAGCAGAACAGAATTGACATTTTCCCCATACTACACAAGTGATGCTCTTCAACCCTGATCTTAGATGAACCACCCATAGAGGTCAGGGGATTCATAGACCTATCAGTCCTTGGCCCTGCTGCTGAGACTACCAAAAATGCCAATTAGTATTTGTGAGGTGGATTCCTTTGCACTCAGGAGTGTAGTAAGGCTAACTCATCTCAAAGTAACCAGATGGGAATGACTTTGGCGTTCATGAGCTGGGCCAGACAACCACCCACCTCCAAGTGAGTTCTCTTATTGACAACACATGATTTCACATTAACGAGAAATCACATATCATCTATTGTATTCCCTTCAAACTTGGCGACAGACATTGAATAAAGTCATTTAGCAAAACTGAATCTGTATACTTACAGACACCAAAGACTCAAATGAAAGTTACAAACTTACATTAAGCTGATCTCGAGTAGCTGCATTAGGCTTGAGATCATGATCAGAGGGCCCACTTCTTAAACTTCGAGCAAGTTTGTGATGTTTGCTCTCTACTAAATTCTCCTAAAAATACACAAAATAAAAGTCAGCGGTTATAAATATTTAACTCCACTGGAAATAGTCTTGAAATGCAACTGTCTAGCAGAGACTCACCAACATCCTGAATAATGTATTACATGCTTAAGTATTCATATCTAAAAACTACTCTGTCTTCTGGATTCACTGCTTAAAGTGCATGCACTTTCCACAGTGAGCAGTCTTATTCCACAAACAATACCATCACTTTAGACTTAAAATGCAGTTTTATAACTATTTCTCACCTTTGGGTGAAAGGCTGTCATCAAGGCATTTGTTCAAAATGAAAGTTATTTACACAGCACCTAAACATGCTAAGGCACTAAAGATGCTAAACACTTTATGGCCAAGCACCATCCTAAAGATCTATGGCCAAACACCATCCTTTACAGTCTAAAGGCTCTGCGTATATTAGATGTTTTTTCCTCCAGAGTTTATTGTTAATACTGGTTCAGCTGAAGCCATAATAGCAACAGTAGAAGCAACAGTGTGAACAAGATTTCAGCTGCCAACACCATTTTCAGCACTGTGTCAACTGGACTACCTGACAGCAGCGTTAGATGGCATGGTGCTGACAATGGTGTCATCAGTAGAAGCCCCATCTACACGAGGGCTCCTGAAGTTGCTAATACCCACCCAGCTGAACTGGCATTCACAATAATGGAATTGTTTTCTAGAACTGTATTTAGGCAATAAATACAACCAGGACAACAGAAGGATGTGGAGTAAGAAAGGGATTTCACATAAGCAAAGTACCTGGGGCAATATTTAACTTGCCTCTCCTTAGTTTCAATATTTCCCCCCTCCTCTCTCCCTCTTGCCTTATATCTCCACCTACCTATCTCCTTTACTAAGGTAACAATCACCCTCCTTTCTCACCTGTCTCCAAATTGCCTCCCCTTCCCTTCCCACAGAAGTGTTAATAGTGTAACTCCCTCCCCGCCCCAAATAAATGAAGGTTGGTTACTTGTAACTGGACTTTGTCAAGTTGGATTCTGCATATTCACATTCATGGGACTTATGCCAACCAGTGTAGCAGGATAATAGGCACGACTCCCAGAAGGTTCTATCAGGGTGCCCATGTGCCACCCCCCCCCAACCCCTCGCTCTATCATGTTCTGAGGTTTTGGGTATAAAAGGGTTATGACAGCAGTTGCTACCTCAGTCTCTTCCACTGCTAAAGCAGAACACCAAGATATTGAAATTTGGACTCCGCAGGAATGGGGAAGATATGCAGGGAGCACGAACATGCAGAGTTCATCTCGAAGAACTCCGGTTACAAGTAACCTAACTTCACTTCGCCACGTGTCCTCTGCATATTTCCACTCATGGGATAGTTTAGCAACCAGTACAGTAAATTGGCTAGAGGGGTGAGAAGTTGTAGTTAAAGACTGGAGTACCGCTCTACCAAATGGAGTATCAGCCCTGGATGTGAGATCCAATGCATAATGTTTTGCAAAAGCGTGAACCAACCTTCAAGCAGCAGCTTTGCATGCATCAATAAGGGAAAAATATTCTATCCAGGTAATATGCTAGTGCTCTCTTAGCAGCTAATGAATGTAATCTAGCCTTCCCTTTACCTAAATGAGGCTTTGGAAAGAATATTGGTAGACTGATAGTTTGATTTACACAAAAGTCCAAAATCACCTTAGGAAGGAATTTAGGAGCCAGTCTAAGAACCACTTTGTCTTTTTAAAAACTGGTATAAGGGGTCTGCCATCAATGCATGCAGTTCACTTAGTCTTCTACCAGAAAGTAATAGCTATTATAAAAGCTGTCCTCACTGAGAGACAAACAAAGAGCAGCTCACTAGAGGTTCAAATGGGTGAGCCACGAGTTGAGTTAAAACTAAATTCAAATTCCATGGTGGGACCAGGTTCCATACTGAGGGGATCCAGGTTGAATTGGCCTCTTTAAAAGCTTTTCACCAATGTACACGAGAAAATAGATTTTCCATTAACATGAGTATGATGCACTGTTATTGTCACTACATGGGCCTTACTGGAGGACAAAGACAACCCTATTACTTTTAAGTGTAACAAATATTCAAAAATAAGTTCGTATGGGAGCTCAAATTGGTCAACGCTTCTTTCAGTTGTCCATAAAACAAATCTTTTACACTTGGACTTGTAACTATTTGACAGCTTTCGGGAATTAATTATATCTTGTTGCACCTCAACAGAACACGATCTTTCTGACTCTATCAAAGGCATATTACCCATGCTGGTGGATGTAACAATCAGAGATCTGGATGGAAGACCTATAACAGCTGGTCTGTTGATAACAGAAGCATCTTGTAGTTGCTGTTGGATGAATGGACTAACTCGGTGGACCACTGTTGCCTTGGCCCTGCTGGAGCAATGAAAATTACCCTGGCTCAATCCTGCCTTATCTTTTTTAAGTCTCTGGTGATAAGTGAAAATGGGAGCAATGCATATATCAAATGCATCCCTCAATGACAGACTGCCTGAGCCAGCTCTTGAGCAAAGAACAGGGACATTTTGAATTGAATCTTGTCGCAAACAGACCAATGACCAGAAATCCCCAAAGGCTGAAAACATCCTGGGTAACAGAATTCTTTAAAGACCATTTGTGCATCTGCAACAAATCTTTGCTCAGTTGATCTGCAATCACACTGTGTTGGGCAATTGGGTATATATTTTACTGGATATATCAGTCTAAAAGTGTTATTGCCTTTTTGCATAGTTGAGAAAACCGAGCGCCTCTTTGTTCGTTCAAATAAGACACTGCCAACACATTGCCCATAGCTACTTGAATTACCTCATTCCGCACCTGTGAAAGAAACGCTTTGGATTGACCTCAGTGCCAGTACATTTATATGTAATTGGGATTCTTTGTAGGTCCAAAGACCTCAAATAAACATATTGCAAAGTTGTCCCCCTCCCTCCCTACACTATCTTTGTAGAATCTGTAATTATTAACAATGAAGAAGGAGCTGGGTTGAACAAAATTCCCTTGAGGACATTCTGTGGTTTCAACCACCACATTAGAGGAAGATACACTTTCCTCAGAACAGTGAGTACTTTTAGCATACAGTCCATAATGGGATTGAAGTTCTTTTGGATCCAGTGCTGAAGATGCCTCATTCTGAGCCTGGCATACAGAGTCACATATGTTGTGGACACCATCAGTCTTGACACAGTCAAGCAAAAACCTAGATTCTGAACACAGAATGAATAATTCGAATGGCCTTCCTTAAATCTTCAAAGGGAGCCTTCAGGAGCCAATCAACTAAGTGAGTGAAGATGAAAATTCCTTGCCTCCTCAAATACACGGCTATCGGAGCCAGGCATTTTGTAAAAACTCTGGGTGCAGTGGAAAGGCCAAAGGGTAAGACTCTGTACTGGAAATGGTGAACTAAGAGAAAAAGATAGGTACTTGTGATGGAGGAGTCTTAGGTCCGTACTTTCATATTTCACTAACAGAGACAGGTTCACGTCACTGCTGTGGGTGGAAGGAACTGAGGCAGCAATGAGAGCCATGCCCCTTTTATGCCCACACCCTCAGAGTATGTTCAAGTGCTAGGGTGGGGGTGAAGCCGCAGGGGCATCCTAACGGGCACTGCTATCAGGAGATTCTAAGGTCTTGCTGAACCGGTCAGCACAAGTCCCATGAATGGGAATATGCAGAGGACACTTGAAGAACTAAAAATATTTGACCATCCCACCAATCCTAATAACAAACTGACAATAACTGAAAAATCTCACTACTATTTCTTGACTAGATTTACTTAAGACTTAACACACTGGCAGTAGCCACAACTTTATGCTGCAATTAAACTTACTTGAGACCATAGGAGATATAATTGTCAAGAGCAACAGAGGGTCCTGTGGCACCTTTGAGACTAACAGAAGTACTGGGAGCATAAGCTTTCGTGGGTAAGAACCTCACTTCTTCAGATGCAAGACTTTCCACAGTGAGCCGGCTTGCATCTGAAGAAGTGAGGTTCTTACCCACGAAAGCTTATGCTCCCAGTACTTCTGTTAGTCTCAAAGGTGCCACAGGACCCTCTGTTGCTTTTTACAGATTCAGACTAACACGGCTACCCCTCTGATAATTGTCAAGAGTTTTCCTCTGCCACTTGTAAGAACTTCACAGCATCCCACAATGAAGTTTTGTTATGATCTGGATTGTGTTGTACAGAAAATTACTCACCATAGACAGCTGGGGATCTGGAACCTTAACAATCTCAGAGCTTGTTAAAATTGGAGATGATTCATCACCATCCTGGATAGCAACATAATTGAAAGGCACAATAAATGTCTCACAAGTTATAATGAACGTGTCTTCTGTCAGAATTTATTACTTTCCATATTCAAGAGAAAATAAAGCAATTAAACTTTCAATGGATAACCAACAAAAGGCATAAAGGATAAGAAAATATAGAAAGGAATTGTTCTAGCTAATTTTTGACAAAGTTGAGAAGATAGAAGGAAATAGGAGACCGAAGGATAAACTCCATCTGTTTGTGAGACAAATTTAGAGAGAAGTATAATTTTTAAAACTTCATCAGCATTAGCATTTTAGTGAAGAAAAAATGGATGGAAATTTTTACCAATATTATTAGGATGTATCTGTTATGGGAGTGCTTAGAGGGCCCCATTGTGTGGGCAAACAATTTTCAAAAGCTGTAGCCAAAACACTTATGGACAAAATTTAAATGTCCCATCATGAAAAAAAAATGGTTACTCACCTCTTGTAACTGTTGTTCTTCGAGATGTGTTGTTCATGTCCATTCCAAGCAGGTGTGTGCACGCCAGCCGGAAGATTTTCCCTTAGCAGCGTCCGTAGGGTGGGCCTTGGTGCCCCCTGGAGTAGCACCTCCATGGCGCCCTATATAGGGGCCCGCCGACCCTCAACCCTCTCAGTTCCTTCTTGCCGGCACTCCGACAGAGGGGTAGGAGGGTGGGTATTGGAATGGAAATGAACACCACATCTCGAAGAACAACAGTTACAAAAAGGTAGTAACCATTTTTTCTCTTCAAGTGATTGTTCATGTCCATTCCAAGCAGGTGACTCACAAGCCTGAGTTTAGGCGTTGGGGTCAGAGTTCACTGCGGATTGGAGCACTGCACGGCCGAAGGCTGCATTGTCTCTGGCCTGGTGCGTGATGGCATAGTGCGACGTAAATGTGTGGACTGAGGACCACGTGGCAGCTCTGCATATTTCCTGTGTCGGGACCTGAGCCAGGAACGTCATGGAGGAGGCCTGTGCCCTTGTGGAGTGGGCCATGATCGGTGGGGCAGGCACCTTAGCCTGACCGTAGCATTCGTGGATGCAGGCCATGATCCACGAGGAGATACGCTGTGATGAGACAGGGAGTCCCTTCATCCTGTCGGCCACAGCAACACAAAGTTGGGATGATTTCCTGAACGGTTTCGTTCTTTCAATATAGAATACCAGGGCCCTGCGAACATCCAGGGAATGCAGCCTACGCTCCGTGCCAGAGAAGTGTGGCTTAGGATAGAACACTGGGAGAAAAATGTCTTGAGCGATGTGGAATTGGGAGACCACCTTTGGAAGGAATGCTGGGTGTGGCCTGAGTTGGACTTTGTCTTTGTGGAAGACAGTGTATGGAGGCTCGGACGTCAGTGATCTGAGTTCCGACACCCTCCTGGCCGAGGTGATAGCCACTAGGAATGCGACCTTATATGAGAGATATAGCAGAGAGCATGTAGCCAGGGGCTCAAAGGCGGGCCCTGTGAGGGCGGAAAGGACCAAATTGAGGTCCCAAGCAAGGGCTGGTTGTTGAGCATGTGGGAACAGTCTATCCAGACCCTTGAGGAAGCGACAAACCAATGGGTTTGCGAAAACTGAACCAGCTTCAGCTCCTGGGTGGAACGCTGAGATGGCCGCCAAGTGGACTCGAACCAAAGAGAGGGAAAGTCCTCGCTGTCTCAAATGAAGCAAGTAATCCAGGATGAGAGGGATCGGGGAGAGCAATGGAGTCTATCCCTGCTGTTCGGCCCAGATGGAGAAGCGTTTCCACTTGGCCATGTATGTGGCCTTGGTGGAGGGTTTTCTGCTACCGAGGAGGACTTGCCTGGCCTGCTGTGAGCATTGCATCTCCACTGGGTTTAGCCATGGAGCATCCAGGCTGTGAAGTGGAGCGACTCCAGGTTCGGGTGGTGGAGGTGGCCCTGATCCTGTGTGATCACGTCTGGGAGCAGGGGCAGCATGAGGGGCGCCCGTGTGGACATGTGCAGCAGCGACGTGTACCAGTGTTGGCGCGGCCATACCGGCACTATCAGGATGACATGAGTGTGATCCCTACGGATCTTGAGGCGTACCCTGTGAACCATGGGAATCGGGGGGAAGGCATAGAGTAGGCCACGAGAGGAGGAAGGCATCCGTTAGAGACCCTGGATTGCGCCCCATGAGGGAGCAGAAACGTCAACATGGAAGATTGAGCGTGCTACATCTCGGCGAAGGGACCACTCGTGACCATGGAACGAGTGGCTGAGGGCATCCGCCAGTCCGTTCTGCACAACCGGGAGGTAGAAGGCCGTCAGGTGAATTGCGCTCTGTACGCAAAAGTCCCATAACGCGAGGGCTTCCCAGCACAGGGGAGAGAAGCGTGCACCCCCGTTTGTCAATATAGAACATCGCCGAGGTATTGTCCGTGAGGACTGCAACACACCTGCCCGCCAGGCGAGATTTGAAGGGCAGGCAGGCTAGATGCACATTGCTCCCGTAGCTCCCTGACATTTATGTGCAGGGAGAGGTCCTTTGGGGATCAAAGGCCTTGGGTCCTGAGATTCTCCAGATGCGCCTCTGACCCCAGATCTGACGCGTCTGTTACCAAGGATAGGGATGGCTGGGGGCTGACTAAGGGTAGTCCCGCGCAAACCTCCCGCGGGTCGAACCACCACTGGAGGGAATCTAGCACCGTTCGGGGAAGCGTCATCACAGAGTCCAGCGCATCCCTGGCTGGTCGGTATACAGTCGCTAACCAGGACTGGAGAGGGTGCAGCCTGAGCCTGGCGTGGCTCACCACATAGGTGCATGCCGCCATAGGACTCATCAACTTGAGTTTCTCACTGTGGTAGTCAGGAAACGTTGGAGACCGAGAATGTCGTCGGACATGGACCGGAACCTGGACTCCGGTAGGTATGCTCTGGCTTGTGTCGAGTCCAGAACTGCCCCTAAAAATTCTATCCTCTGGATAGGAGACAGGGTGGATTTGGCCTCATTCAGCAGAAGGCCAAGCTCGAGGAAGGTCCTTCTAATGAAGACCACCTGAGCCTCTACCTGTGCCTGTATATGGGCGTTGCCCACGACGAACCTGAGGTAACGCCTGGGTTGGGGAATTATTGCAATATGAAAATACGCGTCCTTCAAGTCGAGGGCGGCGTACCAGTCCCCTGGATCCATGGAGGGAATGATGGAGGATAGGGAGACCACAGAGAACTTGAGCTTCTTTACAAACTTGTTCAGACGCCGCAAGTCCAGAATGGGTCTGAGGTCCCCTTTCGCCTTCGGTATTAGGAAATACCGGAAGTAGAAATCTCTGCCCCTGAGTTCCTGAGGAACTTCCTCCACTGCCCCTGCGACAAGGAGGGACTGCACTTCCTGAATTAGAAGTTGCTCATGAGAGGGTTCCCTGAAGAGGGACGGGGAGGGGGGCTGGTGGGGAGGGAGGGAAAGGAGGGAGAACTGGATAGAATATCCCCTCTCTATTGTGCGGAACACCCAATTGTCCGATGTAATTCGGGACCATGCACGATAGAAGGGTTCAGACGTGATGAAGAGGTAGGGTTGGTAGGATCTAGAGTCCTGACCGGTACGTCGTCACCGACCGCACCATCAAATTTGGGGTCTAGGCCTTGACGGGGGCCGTGGCTGGCTGGACTGGCCAGAGGGGTGTTGTTGCCTCCTTCTGCCGTTTCTGCTCCACCTACGCGAGGCATCTGTGCAGTTCTGGGGCTGGTAAGGTCACGGGGCTGGCTGCGGCCTGAATTGCCTGCATTGGGTGGCTGGGTGTGCAAGCCCAGCAAGCGTAGGATAGTCCTTGACTCCTTTAGGCTATGGAGCCTCTTGTCCGTCTTTTCGGAGAAGAGCATGGGTCCCTCGAAAGGGAGGTCCTGGATGGTCTGTTGGACCTCATGTGGAAGGCCTGAGACCTGAAGCCAGGCTCCCCGCCGCATAACCAGCCCAGTTGCCAGTGTGTGGGAGGCTGCATCCGCTGCATCCCGGGCTGCTTGGAGGGATGCCTGGGAAATTAACTTCTCCTTCTCTATTATAGCAGAAAACACTGTTCGCGATTCTTGGGGAAGGAGTTCAGCGAACTTGGACAACGCTGAGCATGTGTTGTGTCCATACTGGCTCTATATAGCCTGTTGGTTGACTATACGTAATTGCAGACCCCCTGTTAAGTACACCTTTCTGCCAAACAGGTCCAACTTTTTGGCCTTCCTGTTCTTCAGTGTAGACCCTTGGAACCCCTGACGCTCCCTTTGGTTGGCCGCATCCACAACCAGAGAGTCCGGGGGAGGGTGGGCATACAAGTGCTCATGGCCCTTGAAGGGCACAAAGTAGCGCCTATGTCTTTTTAGCCGTGGGGGCCAACAAAGCTGGCGTCTGCCACAAGGTGCGGGACATATCAGCTATCGTTTTGATCAACGGTAAGGCAACCCTAGAAGGGCCCAAGGGGGCCAGGATGTCCACTACCGGATCCACATCCACCTCGATCTGCTCCGCTTGGATCGCCAGGCTCTGAGATGCACGCTTAAGTAGCTGCTGAAGCACCAGGTTGTCCTCTAGGGCCAGTGCCGCTGAAGTTCCCGCAACTGCCTCATCTGGAGAGGAAGAGGAGGAGATCACCTGCAAAGGGCCTTCCTCTGTACCCTCAGTCTCTGCAGGGGCCTCCGGCACACAGTACTGCGGTTGCGTGGCCGGTGCGGATGCAAAATGCGGCACCGCGGCCAGTACCAGGGTCGACACCGAACGACGAGGGGTGCTGGGCGGTGCCTGCGGTGTCAGAACCATGATCCCCGCCGGTGCCAGTGTCTGGCTAGGGGGTGCCGGGCTTTGTTGAGGCACACTCCTGTCTGACGGCAGTGCCGGTGGTGGAGGCATTTGCGCCGGACCCACCGACGTCAAGGAGACCAATGTAGACCTGGAGAGCGGGCCGTGCACCTGTCCCATGGTCTGATGGTAAGCCCAGGGAGTCCAGAATGGCCACTGGGAGAGCGGTTGCCACTGCTGCTGCCACTGCCCCGGGTAAG